CACAAATCCAGCCACTTTCAAAGGTCATAAAGAAACAATATTTCCTGTCTATATCTATTATAATTTTGAACCCACAAAAATACCTAGTAACAAAAGGCTAGTTGAGACTTGAAGGCAGTGGYATTTACAGGCATTTATCAGATACTTTTTTTTTTTTTTTTTTTTAAATAACTGCAGTTTTCAATTTGCCAAATAAAAGCTTTCAAAAAGACCATTTTTCTTCCACATACACAGAAGACCGAGCAGAATTTCTGTAAAGCAATTGAGGGGCATGTTTCAATACATTCATTAGAAGCACGTAAAGGCTTCTGTTAAAGGCAGAAGTGTTTTTCACATAATCAAAACTCTTAGTAATTACTCAGCATGCAGTAAAAATATACAATTGAGGATGACAAAGGATGTCATTTGGGACCCTGCAGCAAGAGAAGCAACCAGAAGACATTAATTATGCTAAATATTGAATCACGTCCACATACTGGTGCATGTTTTATTGCTTTTGGTTTTCTGGTTACGAAATCAGCTGATTAAATAATCCTAGGTTGTACAGTTTGGAACAATTGGATTGATCCAGTAATAAATTCTTGTTCATTTGAAATTACATTCCGTTGTCTCCCTGACCACAAAGCAGAAGAAATCCTTCAAGCCCAAGGTTGGCTTGAGCTGAGAATTACCTAGCAAAGTGCAAATAGACTTTAGGGCACTGAATAAAAATAATAGTGTTAGTTACATTCTGCCTGAATAAGCCCAACATATGATGAAACTTAATTACTCCCAGAAAGCTTTAGAAAAGTATGAAGGTAATTTTACCTTTCAAATTGGATACATTTTCTTACCCTAAGAAAACAAAGTTTTGGTCCTATACGACTAATTTCCACTTTACTTCTTATTCTTATTCCAGCTCTTGCAAGTCCCTTCTCTGGAAGTCCACTGAGAAGTACACTTTCATAATTATATGTAAAAGCCTTGTTTTCACTGAAATCAGGTTCTGCAAAGAAATAGTTCCAGCAAAACATTATACAGACTGTATACAATATATAAAATATATGTTAGAATGTATGAAACAGAAAAGTTTTTTTTAATTTTTGGATTGCATCTGAAGAAAAATTGCTATTTTAAAATCATATTAAACATTGATATAATTTTCAGATTCTATTTTGAGTTTCACTCATTAGAATTATATTAGTTGATAGGAATATTACTTACGATAATTAAGATGCTGGCTCCCTGAAAGAAAAAAAAAAAGTAATGAAATGACAAAGCAATAATAATCTAAAACTTCATATATTTTAGTATGAAAAGCTACATTTCAGCTTGTACTGATATGGTGTAACTCTTTTCAGTTAACTTGGAATATAACTTAATATAACAAAAAATCAAAATGGATTTTCTATAAAATTTTAAAGCTTGTATTTATGAATGAATCACATTTTAGATTCTGAAAGCTTTTCCTAACTCTCACTATTTTAAATCATTAGAGTAGATAAGTTACTTACCCACAAGGGTTAAAATCAGGGCGAATATCAACCCCTTCATGGTGGGGACAAAGTAAAGGTGAATATGTTGGGTTCTCTTTTATAAAGGCATGTGCTATCACATGTTCTTTTGGCATGTTGATTTGACAAATAAGTGTATTTTAGAATGTGTATTGATCAATGAAAGAATAAACATTTCTAAGAGCATAAATGCTGACAACTTAAAACTTCAYGATGCCAACTAATTTTACTCGGAGGATTTATTTTTGAAATACCTTTATTCCTTTTTTTTCAGTTTCTGAACATTGCAGCTATACAGAAAAACAATAGTTTAGATAGTAAAAGAAATCAAAACAGTTCTTCAATTATAATGAAATTAACTTGGCCAATCATAGCTCTAATCATATTTTTGATGTCCTGTTGAATTACTCTTGYTGAGGTCCTCAACTTTGTTTACACATCTTAATCACTGAAGAACTAAACCTACTTGTAGAGGTAAATTTGCAACTGATTTTATAGTATGATAGTTGAGATACCTTTAAGCTCATAGTCATTCAAGGAAAACCATCTTTACACAGCATCTATCATAGYTTTCTTTGCAAGCATCTCTTATTGCCTTTGCCTGGGAAAGAAAGCTTTAAGGGGGCCACAGTAGGGCTCAAACTCACAAGAAACACACACACAGAGCTAAACTTTCCCCTCCAGGAAGGGCAAGGTTTTCTCGGGCTGCAGCTCTTCATCAGGAGCGAAAAGGGTGAAACCAGACCTGGTCCAGAAGACCAGGAACACATTTACTGCAGGCACCTCCAGCAGCTGCTGTATACTCTTACTGCATTTATTGGGAGCGATGCCACTGGGCTGAGGAGCAATGCAGCTTATTACTGTGGTGCCAGAGTACACGAGGCAGCTCTGGACACAGCTGGAGCACAACCTGGGCCTGCGACCCATCACAAACASACATCACAAGCTCCTCATGGCCAGGATCCCTCTGCAGCATCCCTGGAGCTGAATGGTGGGGAATGCCAGGGAGACCCACAAGCCAAACAAGGACTACCTCGTCTGGGCACCTTCGTTGCTGATTCCCCCAGAAATCGTGGCAGCTTTTGACATTCAGAAATTTCACTTTTTTTTTTTTTTTTTTTTTAAACTCATAGTAGAATAGATGAGTATCTGAAGGAATAGGCAGATCTTCCTGGAAATTAGATGTAAGTTTTCCTAAAATGAAATTATGTTTTGAGAAGTTGGTGACACAAACTCAAGGAAGAAAGAGAGCTAGCTGACTTCCTCATTACAAAGGGATCAGTTCACATACCATCAATCTGATTCATCCAATTCTGATCAAAAAGTGGAAAGAAGCTACTAAAACTGTCTCAGCTGGAGCATTTTCATACTTTTTAAACTTCAGTTACACCAGGCTGTGGTTACATATCTGTTTACTGAAGGAAGAAACACCGAGGCGCAGTTGTAATGTTCGCAGCCCATAATGGAAGGCAATACCCGCAACGACACAATACTCTAAGAGGTACCACGCAAAACCCTCCTCCTTCCCTTGGCCTGCTTTTCTGGGACTGCTTATTACTGATAACAGCTTGACCTCTGCAGCAATTTTGTACTATATTGTACTATCCTGCTGAACTGGCCATACTTCCACAGCACAGAGAACAAAAATTATATAACTAAAAATATTAATTTGAGCAATGTTATTAACAGCATATTGAAATAACGTCTAAAGGACACTGAAACTTAGCTGTAATCCTCTCTCTTTTTTAATAGTTCATTTCTGTCCAGGTCTGGGTTCTTGGGAATGAGGAGAAAGTGATCTTGAAATTGTTGTACTTTAAAACGGCAAGCTAATAAATACAGTGAGTGGAAAGAAGAAGCCTCTAGAACTGGAGGGTCACAGCATTGGTCTCTAGTCTTTTCTACAAAGTGGGCATGTCCTCCCAGCTAGCTGTGAGAGAAGAACAGGCAATTTGTCAGTTTAAGAAAATGAGTAACAGGAGGAAGGATGAGAGCCATTTTATTTAAAGCCATCATGATAGCATGGTAGCAGATGTGAAAATACTAGAAAAATAAATAAAATGCAATTAAAACAAGGCTTCTACAAATAACTAAAATCCCTTCCTCTGCAACCAAACTACTGTGGGTATGGACTTATGCGCAACTTGTATGATAATGGTTTTTTGAGCTATGAACAATCAAAAGAAATTATTAAAAAGTGATAGTAAATATCTGGGATTTTAAGAGAAAGAGAATATATAGTGTTGAGCGTAATAGAGAGGATGGCAGCACATAAGAGGGTTTCAGTAAGATGAGGTAGGCTGCTTTGAATTTACAGGGTACTTGTACCATAAATGAAACATGAATGCAGCCTAATTAACCTGATTAGAGCTATTGCTTCTACACTGCAATTGTCTTTACATAACACATTCTGCTTGGGTAACAGAGTCTCATTATCTGCTGTTGTACTGCTGCCGATAGCTCCGCACTCGCCTTGTTCTGTATTCATGTTGCTGAGTTATGGTGCAGTGATGCCATTTCCATCCTGCTAATACACAGCCCAACGACAAAGCAGGGATTAGCAAAACAGCTCCCAAGCAGCCATAGCGGGTTAAAATACATACAATCAGTTGGCTAAACTAAGTGATTTTTAGCTTTCAAAATTCCTAATTTCTAAAAAAAAAAAAAAAAAACAAACAAACAAAAAAACACTTTATTATATGTATGAAAAAAAAATCTCATACCTATTTCAAATATAACATGCATTCCTTGATTTTTTTCAGGATATTCAGCATTTGCTATTGCAGCAAAGCCTTCAACATAGTGTTTTCATGCTCTCTCTAGAGACTCTGGACAGCGTCTAATGAATAAGAATGTGTTATGGGTTGGGCTAAATTGCCATAGGCTGATTCTAGTACATTTGCAAAGGAATTTTATTATATTAGCTTGATTTAAAAGGTAATTTCTGATTTTTTTTTCATTTTATTAGACTTCCATTCCTTTCACTTGACAGGCACAAAAAGCCCTACTCTCATGTTGGCACACCACCAATGGAGTGATAACCGCAGGAATGAGATAAAATATTTGCARAATTAAAGAGGTAGAAGTGATATTTATCTTTTGTCTGGTTCTTGGAAAATACCTGATTTGAAAGAAGCTGCTGATGTAGTTTTATAGTACAGCTGTTAGAATTTATTTTCAATAAATTTGATTTTCATTAATATATGCAGCGAAGCTGCAACCATATACCATATTTTTTTTTGCATTTCAATGAATTTCTCAGATTATTCCTGCTATYTAGAATGGTTTTTACCTGTTACTTACAGAGAAAAGAATGAAAGTGAGAAAAAAAAGTGGAATGCTGTGGAATTGAAAATTCCAGCATTCTCAATGTGAAAATTATTTCAATGAAACTTAGGTTTATTAAGATGTTTAAAAGGTTTTTTTTTTTAATTCAAGTACATAAAACATTATAATTCACCATCACTGCTATGATTATGAGTTCATCAGCTAGCCTAATAATTAAGCAGTTTCAGGATATCTTTTTCCCTCCCTCCTCTTTCAATATACACTATTTCCCAAGTSATTCATTAGGGTTAGATGTCAGCCAACCTGCCATCTGAGATTTGAGTCATGTCATATTTGAGGACCAGTGTTTGCTATGTAATTCTATTGCACTAGAAGATAACTTCTCTTATCTTAACCCTTATTTAGACTGCACGGTCACAGAGTGATCAACTTTTCCTGACAGTACCAATGGTGCAAATCAACAGCCCTTAAGTTTAGCCTTACCCTTTCTCCCCCTCAGTGATTTTGGGAAGCAAGCGGTCGCTGCACAAGTAAGCAGACAGTTTGTGAGCACTGCATTCAACACCGTTCTGTAAGCTGAGGCACTGCTTGTGATTGCAGTCATGGTTAGAGCTATAACGGCTAATGTAATATTCAGAGAGAAAAACGCTGGTGTAACGTTTAGTCGGATATACTGTGTATTACGTTGGCACTGTGTCTGCTCATGCATCTTTGCAACACAGCTTCACTCAAGCCATTCTGCGTGCCCAGCCTGGCCGAGCAGATTAGGTAGCAGCCTCGTTGTGGAAGGTGCCACGGACGGAGGGGCTGCAGGGCAGCCAGGACTGCAGGAGGAGGCCTCTGCATCCACCGCCCTGGCGAGGGTCCTCCTCACACAGAATAAGGCCYGAATACAAAATGAATGCTGCAAATTCTTATTTATTCTGTGGCTCTCCCTAAAAGGTGCAAGATTCTTGCTGAAGGAAAGTATTGGCTTTTTCCCTAAGAGCCAGTATTTTGAGGTATAGTGATGATTTTTCCATTTTTTGAGACCTTCGCCTCAGTAAYGTACTCCTTCATACCACTTGACCACTATAAGAGCATGATGGATCTGGATTAGTTTTCTGTACTAGAGATTCAGATAAGTTTATGACATCAGGATGCAAGTTCAATATAAACTTACTCTAAGTACGGAATATATGAGGAGTGTGATGCCTTCGTTTCACGACACTAGGTCACTGTGACACCAGGTCATGGGTCAGATAAGATAAGCAATGTGTTATTCCCAAGGAAGGAGCAGATAATACTTTGCCAGGTCAAATAACAGGCATTGACTTTACCCTCAAAAAATGCAAAATCACCTACACCAGTAGGTCATCAATGACTTGGACTTGCAAAGATTCAAGGGCTTAATCATATAAAACTGAGAACATGATTTTGTTTTTAAAGTAATGTGAAAGTTAGTTCAGTAATAAATTGAGCACCATATGTTTCATTATTCTGAAAGCTGCTACATGCTTATCCCTACTATAGCATATATTAATCATAATCCCATTCTTTGTACAAAAGAGTTATAGGTTAGAATGGAGCACTCAGCTATTGATCAAGCAAACCTATATCCTCTACAAGGCTATGTTTCCACACTGCTCATAAATGAYATAGGACAAAACTGATTTTTGAATATACCTAAAGTTATAAAGTTTATTTTTCCCAAATATAAGAAATGAGGTGAACATATTCCAGTATCTAGGAGGTGTAGGACCTGGATTCAGG